AGAGTCTAACATCGCAAGCGACGTTTTAGTTTTTTTTTTTTTTTTTTCTTTTGTCTTCTTGCATAGTGCTATTACCTCACCTCATTCCGTTTTAACTTTCGGTTCTTGTGGTCCAACTCTAGTCCGGCTCTCAATAATTAATTGGTTCTAGCAAACATATTACATATCTAAGTGCTTTCAGTAAATATTTCTTTTGCATTGCACGCTCCTCCTCCCCCACCCCTGCTCCCACAAAAGCTAAACTCACTTGTTCATTTCTTTTTATGCCTACGTGATGCAATAGTAAATCAATTTATCACAAACATGCTTTGCAGCTAGTTTTTTCTCTCCTGGCGAATAGCTGACGAAGCGCTTTTCGATATCTGATACTCATATGATAGTAGATAAAGATATTCACAGATGAATTGATACTTTCCATCAAATAAACGAACCCACCAATAACAATCGCCAAATCTATGTATTTTCCATTTACTGATAGATCAGAGGAAAAAGCTACTACAAGCATAGACACGGCAGTTGGCAAAAAAACAAAAAATAAAGAGGGTGGAAATGGTCACGACCAGTTTGGCAATTTTATCGTTGCGTCTGGACATTTTATAAGCCATCGAGCTATTGACCGCTGTTATTGTCCACCTTTGTCCCCTACGTAGTCTAGTTACAAGAATTAGTGTGCCGACTGCAACTATTACAAATGTTGCAAACGGAATGAAAAAAATGTTGATGAGAAAAGTAACTGTCTCAACATTGACTTTATATTCTGTCGTGATTAGCCCAACAAATGTCCTGTTGTTGATTAGTGACAGTTTGACTCCAAGGCTGTTTACAAAATACACAGGTGTGCCGCTAAACGTAAAGATGATGAAAATCCCCACCGTGACCATGAATGTTATTTTAGGGGGTCAGAATACTCTTGACCTAAATGTCAGACATAAAAACAACAATTTTAAAATGTGATTAAAAACGTAACATATTACGCCATAGATCAAAAAATTCATATAAACTAACTATGGACAAGGGTTTTAAAAACAGGTAATGTATAACTGTGTGCATTATGCACAAATGTATGTATCTATGTATGATGTATGTAAGTATGAAAATGTATTTATGTATGTATTTTTGCATTATCGCATGCATGTCTCTTTGTGTGCATGAATGTATGTATTCCTGCATGCATGTGTATATACATGTATGCTTTCCTGCATGCATTCATGTATTTATGTGCATATTCACGCATGCATATATGTGTTTAGTTAGTGTGCCTAGTTTAGTTTATTTGTTGCTTGACTTGATCTAGACTAAACACACAGAAGATTTCTTGTCAGGGTGAGATATTTATGATCCAAACCCGCCTAAACTAAATTTTTCTATTTTGTTTTGTTTTTGTTACTGGGGAAGCTTAAGGTTGGGGTTTGGCTTCCACTCGCCACGTGACATCGTTGAGAACTCTTGTAGGTTCAGAGTCGAGGAGATTTCCAGGAGTAGATTTCCATATTATCCCTTAATGTATAGTCATTTCTCTTCTTTTCCCGCCATTACGATGTACCCCTTTCTGCTTTGCTTCTAGTAGAAGTGGCGTCGTCGACTAGGATATAGGTGGCCAATAATTTGTTTTGTGTCTAGTCTAGTTAGTTCAGGTAATTATAGTGGTTCATAGTTTAGATTGATTTTAAAAGGCGTTCAGCGTGTGGGGCTTCTATATTGCAGTCTTTGAATATTTGTATAGTTAGAAGTTACATGATTTAATTCACAAAGGAGTTATAGTTTATGCAGGTAATTATAGTGATTTATGTTTTAAACTGTTTTTAAAATGGCGCCCATGTGCTCTTTTTATTTAGACTATGAATATGTGCGCCCACGTGTGTGTGGTTTCTTTATCGAAGACTAGAGCTGTGCTTAGTTAGATATTACATCATCTTCTTCACGGATGAGTTGCGTTGTGAAGTGGTTTAATTTGACATGTTTAGTCGGTTCAGATTATCCTGTTGATTCATATTTGGTTCAGAACTTGTGTAGGTGCAGCCTTGTAGCTAATTTTGTGTGATTAGATGTTACCTAACAGTTTTGTCACACTTGGGGTGGTCTATGCCTATTGTTGACAAGGAGTGGCCCGTGTATATTGTTGACTAGGCGTGGTTTTTGTCTATTGTCCACGGAGTGGCTTGTTTACGTCTCGACCTGAGCTTGGGGTCAGTTTATTTTGTCTTCGTATCAAGGTTCAACTGTAGGTCTGTTTACATATTAGGGTGCCTTGTGTGTAGTACACCGACCGAGCCAGTTAAGTAATAAAGTTTTTTTTAACATTGCTGTTATCAGTCTATACATTGTAGGCTTTGGCCGAAGTAATTTCGCTCGAATTATATTGTAGGCTTTCTCAAAGCCGAGGTGGTTGTGGTGGAAATCTCACTTGGAAGCCAAGCGGTGTTGGCAGTGACGAGAAGATTGTCTCTCGATAGCCGAGACATTGGCAAAAGTGGTGACGTATCTTTCGATGGCCAGACGGCCAAGAAAAGAATGCGATATGTCTCTTGATGGCATGCCACACGGTAGTGGAAAAGGCAAACGTCTTCTTAATGCCAGGCGGTTATGGCAAAGGGTGGGGGAAGCTGTATAATGTCAGCCCCGCGGCTGAGGTAATAAAGAGCTGAGAGAGCTACGGAGAAACACGACGGAGATTAAATACAACTGATCAAGAATCCTGATGTTACCGGATTACTATGTTTTTTTTTTTTTTTTTGCAGTTCACTGTTGTTTTTTTTTTTTTTTTTTAGGCTTTGCTTGGTGTGTGTCAGTGATGATTGTGTATGTGTTTAAACTCATTGTACTACCGTGGAGCGGATTATATAGGGGTTTATTCTACTCTGTTGGTGTCTCGGACACCAGCGCACACGCTAACGTGTTCCGATGATATCGCCTTCATTGATGTAGACGGGGGGTTTGTAGTGATTTTACTGATTGTAGCTGAAAGTCGAACGCAAAAGTTCACTGGATGTTTCATGACTCCTGCCATATTTGCTGTAATTTCTTATTTGGGACTTATGTGTTCCTTACCCAGTTTCCTTGGGACCAGTCATGCTTTGATCATATGTCAATGACAGTTATTTGTGGGTAAATGTTAATGAATGATACTGCAAGTAACTAGTGATTACATGATGTCTGGAGGATGATTTTATTCAAGTTGGCTATGGCCAATAACTCTGTGGGATGTAGAACAGGAGTTGAGGGAGTATATGTAGACAATTGATGTTATTTATTGTGTAGTTGCCGGGACAACAAAAAAAAGAAGCCGACGTGTAACAGGCTGGAAACTTACTGTTTAGCAGCTCAACGATTTGATTTAATCTAGTTTTAAAAGGGCCAAAGGACCACCGGAACAGCTTTTAGTTCTAGACAATACAATTGGGAAAAATCTGGTCACGGGGAATAAAAAGAAACGACCCAGATTTTGCCTCCTATTTGACATCCGGACGGACCCTGCGAAACATAACTAGCGGCTGCTGCTTCGCACAATGGGCCAGTCTGAAGTATGGCGACCGCAGGAAAAGGCCGTGATGAGACTGATTTCGCAGGCGGTGGTACGTTCAATTGGTTAATTGGTGATAGATTTGAATGAGTATTTTAGATCCTGGTCGAGCACGTTGTTGTTATTAATGTCGTTATTTGTTGACCACGCTGATGTATGTTATGTAAAATAAGTAGCTGTTCAATGCAGTAATCATAGTTCCAGACAGCATAGCAACAGGAAGGAAATGCTGACATTTGCATGTGTGAGTGTGTGTGTGGTCTTAATTCTATGTTTTTACCGGACCATTTTCAATCCTTCAGTTGCTTTGGGTATATAGTTCCAGACCTTTTTCGTTTTAGAACAATCGGCACTTGAAGTATGATATGGTCAACATGGCATCGGCCGCCTTTATTTTTTATGATTTTACCTGCTTCCTATATAAGACTAGCTACATCTGGCAGCACAGATCAATTTAATACAATTAAATTGGCTCGATGCAGATTTAAGCCCAAGATCTGCGGATCTTGCAGCGGCTACATCACTACAGCTGCCCCGGATTTGTGTTACTTTAAAAAAAAAAAAATGGGTGCATATCTAATAAGAAATTATCTACGATAATTGTGGTTTTAAAAGCAAATGTTAAGTAATATCACCCGAATGTACTGTGTAAAAAACATAAGAAACCATAAAATTAGAACTATATGTTTGGAACGTATTACGGTTAAAAAACATTCACAGTCTAGACATTTGAAAATTTAATATGCGTCACAGAACAGGTATTAATAAAGTCACAGAAGATGTATTTAGCAGCACTCATTGAAAGAAGTAAAATGATAGAAAAACACATTTACAACATAAAAATCAAAAGCTATAGTTACCGTGCCGGGAATCGAACATGTCACCTCTAGACAGCGACTGCACCTCAGTTAACTAGGTACCCCCAAAAAAAGTCTTATTGTCTATGTCTGTCTTACAGCTTGAAATCCACCACTTTGTCTATTTATGAACGACATCTGTGCATTATGAAATAGAACACGCAATGCATACAATCTATGGACAAGAGTTTTAAAAACCGGGTAATGCATAACTGTATGTATTATGCATAAATGTATGTGTGTATGGTGTATGTAAGTATGCATATTTATTTATGTATGTATGTGTGCATGATCGTATGCGTCCATGTATGTGTGCATGCATGTATGTATTTGTTCATGTGTACATATTCACTCATGCATTCCTGTATGAATTCATGTATGTATATAAGCTTTTTCGGACTGTTTATGTTAGCACTTCTGATGGCTACCGTATGCTTTTAATGCGTGTGTATGCTAGTCTTTCAATCTCTCCACAATGGACTGTGATTAACATTCTGTGTGTTTTTTCGTTGGCACAGGGGTGACCCGTTTGCTATGAAGCTGAAACAAACGTTACCATTATGCAGGCAACTATAACAACTAGAAATAACAGTAACTATAGTATTTTTTGGGGTAATACTTACTTTCAAGGGGGCAACTACACTGATGCATTTCTCCAGCGTAATAAATGCCGTGATACAACTGCTCACTCGGGTAAATGCGAAATGGGGCATTCCTGATATGAGATACGTAACTTCAATACTCTTAAAAGGCAAATCTGAATTCATAACAGCTGGAGTTGTCAAGATGCATGTACATACCATAGTTATGAGGCTACACAAATCAGAGACTGACAATCCTGGATAGAAATAGTTAAAATTACAAATATATATATATATATATATATTTATATATATATATATATATATATATATATATATATATATATATATATATATATATATATATATAATTTGAAATTAGTGTGTGTTGCAAAATGGTAAATATTTAAATATATCAAACGAATTGTTGTATTTACATGCAAAACATTCACGGGTAAGAAAGACATTATACATTTGCAGCTACAAGAGTTCTTTTCTCAGTGAGTTGAGCAAAGGTGAACCGAGAAACTGTTTTTAAAGCATTGCTCGGAATGTCCACTAGGTAGTCATGATGGTTTAATTGATTGGATTCAAGTCAAAAACGATGAGAAACAGGGATGCATTTGTTTTGCACTGTAATTCTATATATTTAATGAATTGGTGATGAATAAATATTACTGACAAAAACATGCATTGATATATGTAGAACACACAATTCGTTAACTTCGATTTTGCAGTATGATTCTCTAAGTTTGCGAAGAAAAACATATGATTTGGCAAATACAGCGTTATTTAGAAAAACATGATGCGGTAATGAAAAATACACACAATAGCTCAAACAAAATTAAGAAAGCAGGGCAGGTTTCCATATTGGTCGGGATTGGGACTAACCACAAAACACAGTGAACGAAATCACAACACACATTTACATGGCAACATATTTTAAAATCTTAACACCATAAGGAGCTCCCAAACTTTGTTTTTAAATCAAGATTCCTATTTTCAGCTCTAATATTTGTTTTCCATCGTAACATATACAAATTAATACTGGATAAGCATTTACATAATGACACGAATCTTAAATACATTCGGCAAAAATTCAGAGGGCGTTTGTAAACAGTAAGTGGACTGGGTTTTAAAAAGGTGAAGAATTGCGAGAAAGGTCTGGACATCCAAACGCATCAACAGTAAGATGACAAAGAAGATGAGGATACGATTATTTTACACATTACATAGGCAGATGCAGAGAAAGAGACATCAAACATGCACCGAAATAGGAAACAGTTTACTCAGAAAACAATGGTGCCCCAGAAAAACCCTATAACAACCGTTGATGAGGGAGGTATTTATATTGGATTGAAAACTATTCTCGGAAAGATTGCAACTGATAGAACGGCATGGAGGAATATACTCTAAAGCCTACGTGTATTATAAACAACATAGAGTTTAAATAATAAATAAAGGTGATACCAGCATAAGAGACATAGAACAGAGAATACAATTAGATACAATATTCGGCAGGAGAAACAGATAACACTCAAAGATCTATCCACAATTTTCGAAAGCTGGACGGCAAATGGTCTGAGAGAATGCGCGCTGTGCCTGCACCGTGTCATTGCCGTCCACGTGACCTTGTCTTCACATCATGAATAAGATCCTTAGAGCCGTTTCGCCAATTGTTGAAGGTTTAACTCTCTGAACCCAGCTACTGTGCTTCTCAGAACTTCCATACATATCACACGGACAATTATACGTGTTCACCAATTTCTTATTTCCGAAGAAAAAGACCATTTCTGTGTGTAAAGTCCAATGATATTGAATGTAATTTCAAAGTGTTATTGCAAGTTTTTTTTTTTTTTTTCCTTCGGAATTCACTTTGTAAAACATAGTTCGGTCAATTTAAAAACAAAAAAAATTTTTAAGAGTCACTGAGAAAAAATACGTGTTGTATTGCTTTTTAAAGCCATATCTTTTACAAATTAGGTGTATACATTGTATGGAAGATAAAGAGGACACGATGATAGAGGTTGAATGGGTGAAAGGTCAAGAAATGGACAAACATAAGTCGGTATGACATTAGAAAGAGATCCATTGCTATAAGCATGAATTACCAGCAAGGACAAAATATTCACAAATTGACTTACTTAACATACAGATAACCTCACATTCAAATAATGATATTTAAATTTCCTACCCAGAAGAGAGATGTTGATTGTATTTTTAAAGCCTTGTTTAACAAAACACGCGATATTGAGAATGTTTGTAACGATGCCGACAATGTTTATTAACTGACAAAGCCCACTCATCAAAATATATTCGCAAATTTGCACTGCAGCGTCATCTATGATAAACCCTCCTGAGGATTCCGCAGGTTTCGACAAGTAACTTGATGTATTCATTTTGTCGTTTCCAAATTCTTAACTTTTTTTTTTTTTTTAGTTTAATTGTTGTTAGCAACTGTAAAATTTTTTTAAGGAAAACAAAAATTACGATAAGTTTAATGTCTTATAGGGCAAATGATTTTAGGCACACATAGTCCAATGGTGGATGTGCCGGGGAGGGGATCCGAGCACATATGGAACGATTGGTTTGATGTCCCGTGAGGATCATCTGTCTAGTTCCAATGGGGACTAACTCGGTAGATTATTTGATTCACTTCACATTCGCAGGATGTAATTTTACCCAGTTCCCAGTTTACGCTGTGTCGATGGGCGAGTGAGAATCATCGTTACAAAATCCGACTCAATTGGGATTAAACACAAGACATTCGCGAAGGCAGACGAGAGTCCAGATGCTACTCCACCGTGGCTCCAAATTAACACATATAAAAAATCAATGTGGCATTTAATGTGAAGCTATTATACGGCAAAGTCGTTTAACTAGTCTATAATTATGGTAAGGGACAATTCATGGACCAGTTCGACACAACCTAGGATAGTGCTTTCATACTTCAAGCCCTGTGGCTTTATCTAGCAAAGTGGGCTTTCAAAGAAAGGTTGTAAAGTGGGTTCAGCAAGCTGAGATGCATACGCCTTTTAGTCAAAAACATCTGATTTTAAGAAACCCCTAATTAATCTGCAGGACGTGATAGCTCTGAAGGCAGTGATATTTCGGTTTCCTCCCCCCCCCCCCCCCCCCCTTCTCCTTTCAATGGAGCCCTGGAAACCATACGAAAGGGAACTAATACCATGTTTGTTAAATATCAAAGCAGCCTCATTTACATAGCAACGAATTTCCTATTTTATATTTCATTGTTGGTCGACTTAGGAACTCGTTTACAGTTGTCCACCCTAACCCAAAACCCGGTTTTATATATACTAAGGCTAGTTGCGTGTCCTGTACAGGACGTTACAGAACCAAAGCCAATAGCCACTGGCTATTGTGTAGTTTTTCTAGGTAAATGTACGTCCAGTGGTTTGCCATTGCCTACTGGACGGTCGGCTTTCTCGATGCCACTGTTGGAACCAACGCAAGGCGCATGGCCAGCAGCTGGGATTGAACCCGGCATCCCGGCATTACGAAGCGTTCGCATCGACTTAGCCACAGAGCCGACTTATATATACTGGTTGCGTATCCTTTACAGAACGTTGCAGAACCAAAGCCAACAGCCCCTGGCTGGTGCGTGGTTTTTCTGGGCAAATTTACGTCTAGTCGTTTGCAATTGCTTGCTGGACGGTCGGCTTTCTTGATACCACTTTCGAAACCACCGCAAGGCGCATGGCCCGCAGCTGGAATTGATCCCGGCATTCCGGCATTACGAAGCGTTTGCATCAAATTAGCCACATAGCCGACTCTTATTTATACTAAAACGGTAAAAAAAGGTAAAGTCGGGTGATGTGAGTCAACGTCATTGCACACGGTTTTTAACCTTAAGTGCTCTGCTACCAGTACGGACAGCAGATAAGAAACTGTCCGCCTGCGTCACCGTCCGCACGCAACTCTGTAGCTACAGCGACGTTCCTGCATTCACCCCAAAGTATTAACTTTGGTAACCATTACCAAGACGCAGTGTGAGCCCTGGGACCCGCCCCGTTTCGAACACCGGCCGTGGGCTACATCGAGTTGCAGCTGAATTGGAAAGCGAGCCTTCTATCTACTGCGCTAAAGCAGCCGTTTTAAACACTGTAAAACAGGACGCAACGGCTGCAAAGACTATAATGTTAAAGCTGCAGTGGTTCCTTGTTGCTAGCCTGCTATATTTATAGATCAATAGTATTCCAAGACTCATGTGTTCAATATCATGCCGCTTTATAATTATGAATCCTGTGAAAAATAATATTTCTTCAAAAGGACAGTGCACACGTCTGTCACTTCTATTTTTGTGATAAAAGACGTCACTATGTATCTGTCAGGTAAATGCCATTTTAGCACAACAGGTTGTTAAAGATAAGCATAGGGAAACTTGTATACTTACAAACAAATATAGCTCAAGTTAATAGTAACAGATGACACATAATATGGTTGAAAGAAAAGTACAATAATTTTTGAATCGAATATATACACATATATATATATATATATATATATATATATATATATATATATATATATATATATATATATATATATATATATATAAGTATGTATATATCATAGAGGCGCATTTTACTGAACATCATATTACGACAGAACCTATAAATGGCTCTCGCACAAACTAATGTCACAAAGTTCAGAAAATACGATCAGTTCGTGTATTTAATAACATACTATTGACACAAGACATACAAAGCTAGACTACTAGAACGTTCTAGTTTTTTTTGACGATAATGATACCTATTTTATCGCTCACACATAGATCAGTACTTGACAGAAAGTAACTGATGAAATAATACAACCCTCCTGTCAGGATGTTGTTGTCTTTTCTGATCGGTATGCCTAAAATCAGGACGTATAGTATCATATTTTGACCTTACGTATACGATTGCAATGCTATAGTACGGAGACAAGCCAGTATTACTGTTGTTTCGTGAATATGAATTTAAGTATCAAGGCATATATAAATTATGCGCATTCCTTTCTTTAACACCCCCCCCCCCCGCCTCCCTCCCCCTTTTTTTAAAAAAAATTTTCACGTTGTCTATTTAATTATTTTGAACCACAGTAGCGCACTGCCTCTACTCTTAGCTGTTCGCCAGAAAGATTAGAACGGCAATTGGGTGAAATAAGGCTCCTTGCTTTCTCAGGTAATAAAGAAAGGGCTAATGAATGATTTGTCTTCGGAAGTGAGGGCAGCTGGCGGGATGATGATCACATTATG